ATATAACAAAATAATAAAATACATGTTTCAGAAGAAACAATTGAAAATAAATCAACAAATTTGTAAAAAAAACAATAATAGAAATAAATGAATATAACACTTCAATATTAACAATGTTCATTTGAATTTTATTAACTTAACTCTAATATATTGTAAATTCAGTCAATTTATACATCTTTTTCATAAAAATGTCATTACATTTTAAAATAAACAATAAAACTATTTTTACAATTGAATTGAGTATTAATTTTTATTAAATGTCTTTGGTTTCTTCATATTCAAATTTTATTCTATTGGAGATTTTAAATACTACATGTTTAACTTTGTTATATTTATTATAAAAATTATTGCTGGATATTATTCGTACAAATTAATAAATTGAATAAACTACCAATACTTTTCATTATATTTTATTGAATTACTTTTTGTTTAAATACTATCTTTCTAATTTTTATAATTATTGTTTTGATTTCTTTTACTACTTTCTTTTTAATTTAATTCATTTCCATCAACTATTTTATATATTTCATTCTCTTCTTCTCATTAAACTTGTGTTTCTTTTCATCTTTTTTATTATTTCATTAGTTTCTTTTCTTTGAAATAGTAATTAATATTGATACATTTTCTACTTTCATTTCTTTTACTTTATTGATGAGAGTGTTAAAATATTCTTCATCAATTTCAGTAGAGTTATTCTTTAATATGATGTTTTTATTATTATTGAATTACACTCTACTCTTCATTCTATTATATCATTTAATTTCACTTTAATGTACCGTTTAGTGCTTTCTTTTATTTTATGTGATATTTTATTATATTTAATATATTCTTTTTCATTATTGACATTGATGTTTATTGCTTTTATTATACTTTCTATTTGTTCATTTCTTATTTTCTTATATAATTTCTTATTCAACAAATTAATTACAAATCAGTACATCACTTCTTTTAAATTTCTATTTCTTTCTTTTGTTGTATTTCTTGTCTGACTATCATCTCTTGTTTTTTTATCTTCTTTTCATTTGTTATTTATGAATTATTAATAAATAATAATATAATAATATATTTTAGTATATTCTATTTATAACAAATTATTAAAATAGAAGATCTAATAAATAATTGCGTCGAACTGATATTTAAAACTTGAATATGAATGATGTTTAAACGAAAATAAAAAGAATAAAAACACACTCAAGAACAAAGAAAAATAAAAGAAGAATGAAAATAAACAAAGGCGAAAGAAATAGTATATTTAATGAATTACAAAAAACATGTAATAATGCTAACAGTCTAATTGAAGAAGTAATGAAAAGTGCAATAGATTATAATGAGAGTTGGATGAATAACATTGCAGAAGAAATAAGTGATGTTGAAGGAGAAAGTCCCGAAGATAGAATTAAAAGAATAGAAGGAATTTATAAAAGAAAAGAAAAAATAATTGGAAAAAATGAAATAATTAGAAATAAACTGAAAGAAGGAATGATGATGATAGATAATTTGAACATTGTTTATCAAAGAATTAATAAAATTATATATGAAGATAAAGAGATACTATCAGAACAAGTTGACACTATCATTACAAAATGATGGAAACTCAAGAAATACGAATTAATAAACTAATTGAAGAAAATAAAAGATGTACAAACAGATATAAAAAAGAGTTAGAAGTATTAGAGCTGTTGGAAAAGTAAGAGAGTTGAAAAGAAATATCCACCAAAACATCAAATCGAACAACTAGAAGAATGGACAAATAGAAAAGTAGGACATCTACTATTTGATTCAGATATTGATAATTGGAATAGAAATACATCAGTATTTGGAGAAAGAGTAATGAATAAAGAACATATAATAATTATTATTGAAGATGAAGAAGAAAATAAATTTGGAGGATATGTTAATGAGAAAATTGATAAAGTTGATGAATGGATATATGATTCACAATCATTTGTATTTTCATTGGAATCAACTGGAAGAATGGAAAGAATGATGAAATTTGATATTAAACAACCACAATATGCATTTTGGTTATATAACCAATCAAGTGTGGGACTATTTGTATTTGGAGGTAATGACATTCTTGTTTATAAAGAAAATTATAAAACAACATCTTCTTGTAAACAATCCTCATTTGAATATGAAGGAATTGAAAATGCACTTTGTGGAAAACAACATCCGAATCGTTTCACGCCAAAACGAATCATAGTAATTGAAATGAAATGATTCAATCTTGATGAATTTAAAATGAACTAAAAAAGAATAAAAACAAATCAATGAAGAATATGAACATTTCATTCATCTGCCAATGAATGAAATGATAAATTAAAAATAGACATAATTCAATGTTGATTTATTTAATTTCATTTAATGAAATTTTCACACCCAATGAGGGTGTTTTTAATAAATAAGAAAAGAAATAAGAATAAAATAGAAATAAGATGAAATGAATAAACAATTCATTTGTATTATTTCATTGAATTAATTCATTATGAATAAAATGAATAAGATAATAGAAATAAGAATAAACAAATAAAGAAATGATAAAATACATCAACATATTTATGTTATTTATTATTTTTTATTCATTCTTATTTTCTATTTAAACAATAATAAGAAAGATAAATAAGAATAACACAACATAAAATAAATAATAATAATAAAATACACAACAAACATGAATAAACAAGAAATAACAAATGATAAAAGATAAACTAAATAAAATAACAACAAGAATAAAGAAAATGGAAAGAAATAAAATAAATTTAGAGATGTTTATAAAAGATAAATTAACAAAAAGAAGAAATGAATGATGATTATAAAAGATAAAAATAAAATATAATTATAAAATCAAAACTAAAATAACATAATAATATAATAACAATATCATTGATTTTATCTTATTTTATTCTTATTTTATTTATCTTCTTTTATTATTTTTATTCTTCTATTTTATTAAATGAAAATGAATGAGAAATGAAGAATGAAAATCAGAAATAACACACAAACATTAATACAAAATCAAATAATGAAATATCAAATAATAATTGATTATGATGAAGTAAATTAATAAGAAATATAATAAATAATAATAGAAAGAATGAAATAAGATAATATGAAATAATAAGAAAAGAAAATGATATAAATGATGGTATTAATAATAAATGAAATTATAAATAATAATATAATAATAATGAAATATTATTTCATTCATAAAATAAGACATAAAGAAAGACTAAATTGTCTAAGATTAAAATAAACATCAAATAAGAATATAAAAAAGAAGAAATAAACAGAAATAAGAATGAAAAGACAATAACATAAAGAAATAAAATAAAAAGATTTATCCACAAAACAAGAAGAAAATCTAAATAATAAATAAAACAAATAAATTATTTATTTTAATGATGTCTGAAGTGATTCACATTCATTAATCAATAAATAAACAACAATTTTATTAACACTTAATTATCTAATTATTATTACTTTTACAAGAAATCTATAAATAGAATTCTTATTTTAAGAAATTAAAATCAAGAAAAAGCGAAAGAAAATAAATATAGAACGATTTAAAAATACTTTGCAACAACATTCTCCACCATCAAAAATTTCTTTTTGATATTATTTCATCTTGTAAATTCATTTCACATATATAAAGTGATTTTAAAATCATGTTGTATATCAGTTCTATGCTTATTTATTATTTTTTCTGTTATTTCTTGTTTCATTTTATAATGTGTTGTCGTTGAACAATTCGATGTTTTTTTTTGCATTCCATTCACCAGTCAGGTGTTGGTTTGTTTCTATTGATTCATATTCATTATTTCTAGATACCATATATTGTTTATTATTCTATTTGTTGTTGAATTATTTCATATATTATTTGTTGTTGAATTATATGATTATTTCTGTGTTTTCTGCTTGTATATTTGTTTTATCTTATTGTTTTGTATTTTTTTTTCATATCATTTCCTGTTATTTTCTATTTTTCTTTGTTTATGTTTATTCCATTAATCAATCATGTGAATATATTATTAATACAATGAATGATTTGTTGTTGTTTTACATTTAATATATTTTGACTCTTGTATATATTTCATTCTATTTATTTCAATACTTTAATTCTATATTTTCGATATTTCCATTCTTTCTTCATTCATGTTATTTGTTTATTAAAACCATTATTCATTTCATTTAGTTTATTACAAATAGAATTGTTAATAATGTCTTTCTTTTCTTGTTGTATTTTCTTTCCATTTATCCATTCCCCATTATTCTTATTATCTGTTTTTCTTTTCTTATTTATTTTTTACTTTCTTATTTATCTTTATCAAGAAATGTTCCCATTTCTTTTATTTCTTCATTAATTTCATTCATACCTTCTATCTTTTTGTCTTTTCTATCTTCTTCTTTTATATTTATCTTATTTCTTTTATCTCATTGCTTGTTTATTATTTATATCTATCTGTTTATTTTCATTTCTGAATATTAACCTTCTTTCTCTATTTCAATCCATCATTCCTTTATTATTATCAATTATTACCTCATTCTCTTTCTATTATATTTGTTATATGTTTGTCTCTTAATTTCTTGATTTTCTTAACCATTTCATTGAGAATATACAATATTAATCATCAATACTCTTAAATGTCTTTTTGTAATTGTTACATATTAGCACTTATCTTTCTTTCAGTAATGTTATTCTTCCATTTTGATCTTATTCAATTATAACTTTTTGTTCATAGTATTTTCTTCTTTTTGGATTTATTGAAGAAAAGGAAAAAGAAAAACTATTTTTACTTGTGGATATTAAAAAAAAAGAATTAAAACTTATATTTTGACTGTTATTTAAAATACCTATAAAAAATATTTTAAACATAAATCAATTTATTTTTATTCAGAGATGGATGATTCACCTTCTTCTCCTTCAAGAAGTATAGTCAATGACATAAGAATAAATAATACGAAAGCCAAGCCAAATTTTAGATATTTATCTAATACATATTTATTATTATGTTCTTCAAATGCTTCAGATAATATTTCAACAATAGCAACAAAGAAGAATGAACCTGCAGCAATACAACAGAAGACACCTTGAACTAATAATGAAACACTTTCATCATCTAATGATGCAATAACAAATTTTCCAATGATAGCTCCAAGTGGCGTAAATGAAGAGAAGACTATTAAAATAATAAGAAGAACCCACCATTGTTTGACTTTCTTCATTAAATAAATAATAGTAAGTCCAGAATCTGCCCATTTATGTGCAGCAATTGCAATAAAAACCATTAAGTATTTATTAGCAGAACCTAACCCAAGACCTTCAAGGAATGAATGAATAGAGAGTGCAACTACTAATACAACAATTGTTGTCCATTCTTGGAATGTGTCTGCTACTGTATGGTGATGATGAGAATGGTGTTCATCATCATGAAGTAAAGTATAATTATCCTCTTCACTATCACTATCTTCAAATGAACCATGAGAATGAGGAACAATCACTCTATCAACAAAGAAAATTAAAAAGAATGTTACACCAAATAATGTCCATCCTAAAGGATATCCTCCAAATGAATATCCTGACTCTTCCATCATTTCTAATCCTTCGGCTAACATGTGATAAATACCACCACCAAGAAATAGTCCTGAAGCAGCGACTGAAGCAATATTAATAACTCTAATAGCAATAGTTTTGTTTTTGACTAATTTAATTAGAAATGGAATGAGCCCTCCAATGACTGAAATAAAAAAAGTTGCAATAACATAACCAAATAATGCCCAATCCATTTTTTGTATTAAGATTGAATTTTAATAGATCTTTTGTATATTTTTAAACTCCCCTTGAAATTTCCTCATCAATAGAATTTGAAAGATAAATCGCTTATTTTGAAAAAACTATTTTTATATTTTTCTTCCTTCCAAAATAATCTCTTCATCTGTTTATCATAAAAAGATTTAATCCTAACACTGAAATTAAAAAATATAGTAAATGTAAAATCTTATCACATTACTTCCAGTTTTTATTATCTTCAAAATAACTAAATTATTCTGATATTGTTATTACTCTTCATTTTTGATATATATAACAATATAATAAATACCCAATACCACACACTTTTACTTTGGTTAATGAACGTTATAGAAGAAATGATGGTGAGATGGCTGTGGGTGTGATTGCCTTAATGTTATACCATTACAGTCTCAAAAAATAATTTTAGGATAAAAATGAGATATAATATAAAAAATGAGATTGGAGAAATGATAATTTCATAAAGAGAACTAAGAAAGTTATGTCATTAACTCAAGAGCAAAAAGACGCCTTTAAAGCAATTTTTATTGAAACAGTCACAAATTTTGCTCAAAAAGTAGGTCAACCAACCGAAAAAGTATTTCTTCAAATCCTTCCACTTACTGTTGTTGCAGGAACTGAATATCTAAAGTCATATGAAGAAGACTTAAAAACAAAACTTGAAGACAGCAAAGCTAAATCTCAAAAAATAATTGGTGCATTGTCTACAGTTAAGGAGCCTGAAAAAATAGAAAAGTCAGGAGATAAACATCTTCCTCTTGGAGAATTACTTGGAAAAAGAGTTCAAAGAGGAGAAGACTGGAAATGGGATGATCAAGATGGTGGAATTGGATCATTTGGAAAAGTAGTTGGAGTAAAAGGTAATGGATGGGTCAAAGTACAATGGGAATCAAGTAGAAATGAGAACAGATACAGATGGGGAGTTGATAAAGCTTACGATGTTAAGGTTGTTGAAATAGTAGATGATTTAGGAGATATCCCACCATTAGAAGAACAAATTAAAAAACCTACTAGTTGGGTTAT